TAGAAAAAGAGATACAATTTGTGGGTACCGGAGGGAGAGTGTGTGGGAGGAATTGGAAGAAGGTGGTCAAAAGGTACAGACTTCCAGTTATAACAGAAAGATAAGTACTAGGGATGGAATGAATAACATGATAATTATAGCTAACACTGCTGTGTGATATATAGGAAAGTTGTTAACAGAGTAACTCCTAAGAGTTCTCATCACAAGGAAATTTTCTTTCCTTTGTTTCCTTTTTTCCTCCTTTTTATTGTGTATACATGAGAAGATGGATGTTAGCTGAACTGACTGTGGTAATCATTTCATAGTCATCTCACATTTCACATCATGATGTACGCCTTAAACTTCTACAGTGATGTATGTCAATTATTTCTCAATAAAACTGGGGAAAAGAAAAAGAAATGCATGCATTGATAGCACCATCTCCCTAACTTGGCACTGATTTCTACAAGTATGGCCATTCACCATCATGGGCCCTAATGGAAAGAAGAAGAGTCTTGGCTGAGGCCAAATGATCCAGTGACCATTTACATTTAGTAGTGCCGTGTAATTCTGCATCTGCCTCAGGTTGCTAACATCACATCACCTCCCCTTTCTTCCTGTGGGACCTGGATGAGAATCTTGGAGAGTAAACTTTGTAGACGGCCATCAGTAGTGTTATTAGTGGTTATTGTTGCTTAATTGAGATTTGTTTCTGTGATCACCTGTATACCTAAATGCCATTTCCAACTTAAGTTTCTACTTTAAACTTCTCGAAAGCTGAAAGAACTCTCACCAGGGAGTTGATCTAAACCTTAGGCTTCAAAACAAAACACTTGAATTTTTTTTTTTTTTTTTTTTTGCTTTCTTGACTCATGTTTACAGATTTCTTCAGCAGTGACATCTGGGTTATGGAGAAAAGATTTGAAACCAGCTGATTGAGAGCATTTAGGTCTATTCCCAGGAAAGTGATGAGTTCCGTGTATGATTAGTATATTAGTGGAACATCTTTGGTTGCAAGTGAAAGGATATATGAGTACTTCAGGGAATCTAAGGGCTAGGATGCTCTTGGGCTTCTGGAAGCCAGTGAAACCAGAATGCAGAGTCAGAAAGCTCCAGATACCAGGAAGTACTTTGTCTAATGTTTTTTTTTTTCTCTCTCCATGCATCCATTTCCTTTTTCTATCTCTTAGCTTACTAACTGCCTTTACTTCTCAGACGTATCCTAACATAATGACAGAATAAGGCTACCACTTAGTTCCCAAATTTATGTTATCATTCTTTACACTTGAAAGCACTACTGGACTATCTCTTGTCCATTCTAAATTCCTGGAGGAGGGGTGCCTGGGAGGCTCAGTCGGTTAAGCATCTGACTTTGGCTCAGGTCATGATCTCATGGTTTGTGAGTTCGAGCCCCAGATCTGGCTCTCTGCTGTCAATGCTGAGCCTGCTTGGGATACTCTGTCTCCCTCTCTCTCTGCCCCTCCTCCCACACTCAAAAATAAATAAACTTAAAACAGCTTGAAATTTAAAATGAATGAATGAATGAATGAATGAATAAATAAATAAATAAATAAATAAAAAAAAAAAAAAAAATACAAGAAGAAAAGAAAAGAAATTAAGAAAAAAAAACAACCAAAAAAAAAAAAAAAAAAAAAAAAAAGAAAAATACAAAAAAAAAAGAAAAAAAAAAACCAAAATTAAAGAAAAAGGGAATAAAAAAAACAAAAAGACAAGAAAAAAACAAAAAAATACCAAACCAAAAAAAAAAAAATAAAAAAAAAAAAAAAATAAAAAGATTTTAAAAAATTAAATTAATTTTAATTTAATAAATAAATAAATAAAAAAAAAATACCAAACCAAGAAAAAAAAAATAAAAAAAATAAAAAAATAAAAAGGATTTTAAAATTTAATTTAAAAAAAAAATTAAAAACCAAAAAAAATAGATAAAAAAATTTTAAAAAAAAAAAAAAAAAATAAAAAAAAAAAAAAAAAAATAAAAAAACATTAAAAAATAAATTAAAAAAGAAAAAAAAAAAGAATTAAAAAAAAAAACCAAAATAAACAAAAAAATTAAAAAAAACAATAAAGGGAAAAAAAAAAAAATAAAAAAAAAAAAAAAAAAGAAAAAAAAAAAATAATAAAAAAACAAATAAAAAAATAATTTTTTTTTTTTTTTTTAATCATGGTTTGACTTTGAAAACAGAGCTGTATAATTTTAGGAACCTAGAATTGAGTTGTTGACCCAGTATAGACCCGCCTCAATCAAGCCAAATACAATGAAGGACTTTCCTGTGCCTCAGCAACTTAGGAAAATAAGGCCCATAATACTGCAACAACTTTCACATCCTGACGGTTGCCTCCTCTTTTATACCACCAGTATCTTCTTACTTGCCTGTGTGTCTATGATATAGTTTCTTGGGGCCTTCAAATAAAAGGCTGAAATTTCAGCTACTTAATCTGAAAAAAATAAAGATCTCTGCCTTATTTTTAAAGACTTTTAAAGAAGATTCTTCATTTTTCCCTCCACTGCCCAGTGCCACATACTCCTGTGTTTATCAACACTCTGTATATGGGAAGAAGAGACTAGGTGGAAGCTCGAATGTGTTCTGATGTTCAGTGGGTCATAACTAGTGGCTGAGCCAAGACCAGAATTCCTGCTTTCTGGATTCCCTATCTAGTGCTCTTTTTGCACAGCCTTATGAGGAGAAACAATCAGGTTAGAAATGTCCTGTGTCCTGTGTCTTGAAAGTAGGCAAGCTTTTCCTAATCCTTTTGGTAGCCACAATCTTCACGGAAGGTCTTTTCCATAAGAAAGCACAGGCCTTGCACACTTTTATATCTCTGCAGTCTTAATGTATAGCTCTTTTTTCTTTCATTTATCTTAGAATCCTTTCAGGTTATATTGTGAGAGGAAAGAAAACTTCTTATTCATTTGCTCTTTCAATAAAAATATATTAACTGAGGGGTGCCTGGCTGGCTCAGTGGGTTAAGCGTCCAACTTTGGCTCAGGTTATGATCTCATGGTTCTTGAGTTCGAGCCCCGTGTCAGGCTCTCTGCTGTCAGTGCAGAGGCTACTTCGGATCCTCAGTCTCCCTCTCTTTCTGCCCCTCCTCTACATGCACTCTATCTCTCTCTCTTTCAAGAATAAATAAACTTAAAAGGATATGTGTATATATTATACATTTTATATATATATATAAAGTGCATGCTTCATGCCAGATCCTGTGCTTCTCACAGCATGAATTATTATTATTGGACTTGGATAGAAAACTATCAAATGCAACTTTGAAAATTCTAAGTGGTTACTTGCAAAATACCGCAAAAAAAAAAAAAAATCATGTCCATACCCCGACTTAGATCACTGTACGAGGCTAGCCGTGTAGTATCATGATCCAGTCATATCTCTGAGGAGGGCAAAGGATATGTAACAATGATAGCGTCCAAGTGTCAAGTGCCAGGTACTGTACTTGGTATTTTATCTTACATTTATTACCTTATCTAAACCTCACAACAGCCCAGTGAGGGGTTTTGTAAATACCTTTTTATAGATGAGTCAACTGAGGTTCAGACGAAAATAATTTACATTTGAGTCTCTGCTGTGTACCAGGTGCTGTGTTAAGTGCTTAAATGAATCATGCTTAATCCTCACAACAGCCCTGTGATACTCAACTACAATTACTCCCATTTTAAAGATGAAAAACCTAAGATTCCAAGAGATTAGGCAAATTGCTCAGGTCACACAAGTAGTGGTATAACTTAGTTACGAGGAGTAATTCTATACCTCGCTTCACACTTCACAGCCAAGCTTAGGACTTCTCCTGAGTTTCAGTCTGCCATTCCTGCCTTCAGAAGTGGATCGGGAGTACAGTCACTCTTGAGGCCTGTGTGTCAAGGTGCTGTGTTTGCCTCCCATCTGCCCTGGTGCACTGGCATCCCTAGAGTGCTCAGTTCTTTTCTGGCTATGTCCTGGGGATGGCCTGATGCCCGGGCATTCCCAGAAGAGCCTCACACAGAATCCATTTTGACCCAAACATCAGGAGCCCACAATCATGCTCTCCTGTGGCCCCTATCACTGATCACTCCGTGTGCAGTTAAGAAAACTACCTGCAGATTCAAATTTGAACCAGTGGCTTGCATTTAAACCTCAAATCCAAGAGGGTTATATGTTTTTTATTTTGTTTTCAACCTAGGACAGAAAAAAGGTCAGTTGTAGAGAACAGGGCATATATGTGATACAGAAAAGGTGAGGTGTATTTGTAAATGGAAAGATGAACCGTAAATACTGGATTGCATCTCCAGAGCTCTTGGGAAAATATTTATCGTACTTTCTCACTACTTGGCTTTTAAACTTTCCAGTACTTCTCTGTCCAACCAGGAAACCTCCTCAGTCCCTGATTTTCCCATTTGTTTATTCAGCAAATATTTACTGAGTACCTGCCATGGGCTAGACAGTCTAGATAAGGCTGTGAATGAGACAGATATAAATAATTAATTATAACTATGATAAATGCTACAGAGGAAAATATAAGGTGCTATTGAATTATTAACAATAATGGAAGGAGGGAGAAGAATTGTAAAGTCAGGGAAGACTTTCTGGAGGATTTGATATTTAAGCTGAGCCCAAAGGATGAATAGGAGTTAGGTAGGTAGGACAGGGGAATGAATGCAAGGAAGCATTCCAGGCATAGGGAACAGCATGTAGGAAGGCTCTGAGGCAAGTAAGAGCTTGATTCATTTGAGGGGCTAAACAGCAGTCAGACTCAGGAAAGTACAGGAAGAAGAGAGCTGTGTGTTGGAGAAGGAACTTTCTTTTTAAAAATTATTGAATTTAGAATTGATACTTCTGGAGAGATTGGTAATATTGCTGACTCATTGTCATTCCCATGGCCCAAGAGACAAAGTGGCCCTGGTTTGAGGGTGGTGCTGTGGGGAGGAGTAGAAGCCAGTAGCCTAGAGGGAGGATAGGGGAAGAGGGGGAGGGTATGAGGTGACTCTGATTCTGGGGCTTCTATCTCCGCAGGCCTGAAGACCATTGTGGGTGCCCTCATCCAGTCAGTGAAGAAGCTGTCAGACGTGATGATTCTGACAGTGTTTTGCCTGAGCGTTTTCGCCTTGATTGGACTGCAGCTTTTCATGGGAAATCTGCGAAACAAGTGTGTTGTGTGGCCCATAAACTTCAATGAGAGCTATCTGGAAAATGGCACCAAAGGCTTTGATTGGGAAGAGTATATCAATAATAAAAGTAGGTGGGCCCCTTCGTGCAAGAAGTGCAAGACAAGCCTGTCTCTTGTTTAGGTGGTCCGAAGCCATCACTGGGCATTAAAAGTAGTTGGGGCTGAAAAGGAATCCAGTACTACTGAAACAGCCTGAGGAGCTTGTTCCCTTTCCTTGGGGTAGGATTTGTTCAGAAGTGCACTCTGGCGTTTTTTTTTTTTTCTCTCCTTTTAAAGCCAAAAATGAAACTATAGCTTTTCTCCCATCAAAGTACTAGCCAGGCCCGACCCTGCTTAGCTTCCGAGATCAGATGAGATCGGGCGCCTTCAGGGTGGTATGGCCATAGACGAAACTGTACCTTTTCTGCAGGCACTCCTAAACTTTTGCTTTGAAAATCAGGCTTAGGAGTTTGATAAAAATACCGTTTGCTCTAGTTGGGTAAGCTCAGATACGTAAACATTTAGTTCAGAATATGCATGGTAAGCTCTCTTAATATTACTAAGACCTCATAGTCGGTCTGGTGTGGGGAGTCAGGTAATCGCTAAGTAAGCATTTGAACCTATTATAGTTAAAGAGTTTGAATCATTTCATTTCAGGAATCAAACCACCTGGGTCTTATGCTAAGGAACGTTTGGTGTGGTGGTACTTATATAAAATGGGGAACAGTGGTACTTATATAAAATGGGGACCGGGGCACCTGGGTGGCTCAGTCAGTTGAGTGTCCGATTTCAGCTCAGGTCATGATCTCGTGGTTCATGAGTTTGAGCCCCACATCGGGCTCTCTGCTGTCAGTGCAGAGCCTACTTCGGATCCTTTGTCTCCCTCTCTCTCTGCCCCTTCCCTGCTCACACATTCTCTCTCTCTCTCTCAAAAATAAACAAATATTTTTAAAAAAAGTTTTTAATAAAATAAAATGGGGAAAAGTTAACAATACCACTATTAGTCACTTCTGAGGAATAAAGGCAGTTAAGTAGCCGTAAGAAAATGTTGCGAAGGGAATTTCAGGGGCACATACAGGAAAGGGAAACCTGCCTTCTAATTTAATATAAGACACGGTAATGTGATCAGTGAGGATTTTCGTTTGTCGTGGATAAAGAAGAAGGATAGAAGGCCAAAGTTGTACAAAGGAATAAGGAGCTCAGAAAACTCACTTTTAGACCCCTTAATTTCAAGTCCCAGAAACTAGCATATAGATTGGAAATATGAGGGGAAGTCAAGTGTGTGTGAAAAGAGCATTGTATTAGGACGACATGGTAGCATTTTTAAGTATATATATGAAAATAACAGGGAAGAATTTTTATCAGGTTCTCCTCTGTCAGAAAAGATTTATGCGAGCTAAAATCAACAACCATTTCTGCTGGGGCTAATGAGGAATAGTGTAACTTGATTCTCTCATTCACTTGTATGTGCCTTATTCATTTCCTGCCTCTTCAAACTTTTCTAGCAAATTTTTACACGGTTCCTGGCATGCTGGAACCTTTACTCTGTGGGAACAGTTCTGATGCTGGGTAAGTGGCTCACCTAATTTTATTCTTGTCCCTTAAAATAATGTGTCAGATGAAGATGGGCAGTATTTTCACTTTTCTTTGTGCTCATATAGTAGATCCTAACTGGGTCTGACGTATTGGTTGGCTCAGATTTTCTTTCTGTTTCATATTTATTCGTCCAAAATTGGCATTTCACTAGTAGGTGAATGTGACTATAGTCTCAAGCCAAGATAAAAAACGTAAAAGGCTAAGAAGGATGGCATCTACAACCCCAGGTATCTTGCCTGTTTCTGATAGATTCCCATTGTCTTACACTACAATTAATTAATAACGTATATAGCAGGGACACTGTCTTGGTGATAGATTAGTACCAACGATGACCGGAAACATACTAGGCGTGACGGCACGGGGAAGGGAATGAGTAGCAGCATAGTAATTTTTTTCCATTTTTAAAAAAATTGTGGTAAAATACACAGAACATAAAATTTACTCTTGTAGCCATTTTTAAGTTCAGTGGCATTAAGTACATTCACATGGTTGTGCAGCCATCCACCATCCAGCTCTTTCCTTCCTCCCAACTGAACCATACCCATTAACCACTAACTCCCCATTTCCCCCTCCCCTCCCATTCCACTTTCTGTCTCTATGATTTCGACCGCTCTAAGTCTCTCATGTAGGTGAAATCATGCAGCAGTTGTCTCTTTGTGACTGGCTTTTATCACTTGGCATGATGTCCTCAAGGTTTATCCATGTGACAGCATCTATCAGAATTTCCTTCCTTTTTCATGTTGAATGATATTCCATTGTCTGTACAAACCACATTTTGTTTATCCATTCAACTGTCAATGGACCGTATTGTAGTTACTGTGAGTAACGCTGCTGTGAACACAAGTTAATACAACATAACAACATAATAATAACAACATAATGCAAATCTTGATTTTGCTGATTTCAGCTCTAAGACTTTTGGCAAGCCATTTCACTTAGCTGACCTTCAATTTCTTCATCCATAAAATGGAATTAATAATTCACACTTCCTTCAAGGGTTATTGATTGTAATGATGCAATTAGATAACATATATAAAAAGGCTTTGGAAACAGAAGGTTACATAAAAGTGAGGGTGTCACATCATTTTCTAGAGTATACTGGTCCTCTAGGAATTAGTATTTTAAGATGACCATGACAACTAGATGTCCATTTAATTTCTATATCAAAGTAGATACCAGAAGTTGCATTGAAATACATATCATATGAGTCTAAAAGCAGGAGAGCTGGTAAAAGTGAGGTCACTGAAATTCCCAGTATGACATAGGTCCTCTTGGTGAGTGTTAAGAGAATAAAGATGATGAAGAGGAACTTCCAGCTAGCCATGTGTCATTTGGGATCATAGCTAAGATGAATTTGGTTGAGTTGCACATCGGTATGAATCTGGGACAGTGGTTCTCAAATTTTGGTGTGCATACAAATCATCTCTTTAAAACGCAGATCCCGGAGGGCACCTGGGTGGCTCAGTCAGTTGAGCTTCGAGTTCAGCTCAGGTCATGATATCACAGTTGGTGAATTCCAGCCCCACATCAGGCTCCGTGCAGTCAGTGCGAAGCCCACTGCAGATGCTCGGATCCTCTGTCCCCCTCTCTCTGCCCCTCCCCCACTTCCACTCTCTGAAAAATAAATAGACATTTTTTTTTAAGATCCAGATTCGTGGCTCCCATATCCAGAGCTTTTATTCCTACTCTGGGTAGAACATAGGAATCAGCAATTTAAAGAGGCAAGCCTGGTGATTCTGATCCTAGGCTGTCCCCAAGACCTCATTTTTTTGAAAAGTTGACCTTATTTTTGTAATACCTGTATTTTGGCCTGACTTTCTAGATGGTTATTTGTTATCTCCATAGTCATGGAGATGACTTATAGTTGATGAATTGGATAGAATTATGTTGAAAAGCCCCAAAATTCCTTTTCTTTCCTCAGGCAATGCCCAGAGGGGTACCAGTGTATGAAAGCAGGAAGGAACCCCAACTATGGCTACACAAGCTTTGATACATTCAGCTGGGCCTTCTTGGCATTATTTCGCCTTATGACCCAGGACTACTGGGAAAACTTGTATCAGTTGGTAAGTAGTAATCCCTCTTCTTTGAGTGCTGCTTTTTTTTTCTTTGGTGACAGAATTTGTATAAAGGTATGTGGGCTTGAAGACATTCTGTGTAAGAGAACTTCAGTGAAGATATTATGCAGGATCTTGGGATATTATTTCTCAGAGTCGGCTGACTTACAAAATTAGTTGAATTCTCCCAGCTCTTGCCCCTGTCTCTTTAGTGCCCAGTCATGTAAAACTTGTAGAGGCTCACAGCCTTGACAGCCTTTTGCCTGGCCTGGGAATCTGCTCTCGGTTTACTTCCTGTTGTTTCACCAGACCATCTGCAGTATTTCTCTGCTCAGATTTTTGGCTTAGGGAGGCTTTTTAAGGAACATCAATTAAACATACTGTACAAAGCACTAGGCTAGACATTAGAAAGATAAGATTTCTATCCGCAAAGACCTGGGATTCTAAACATATCAATATTTTTGAGATTTGTAACATATGTGGACTTATTCAGATAGGTTGTGACAGATTAAAAAAAAAAAAAGGTCTGCCATTCTGTTGGCCTACATTGGTGATTATGGGCAAGTATTTTAACTTTGCTGCTGGTGATGGAGAAGTAAGTCTAGGTGATTGCTAAGGGTCTTTCAGCTTAGAAATTCCATGATAATTCATTGTTTTCTGTTTGACTCTGGTGTTTGGTGATGCCAGTTCAAGAATAAGAAACATGTTGGGGTGCCTGGGTGGCTCAGGTGGTTAAGCATCCAACTTTGGCTTAACGGCATGATCTCAACGGTTTGAGTTCAAGTCCTGCGTTGGGCTCTGGGCTGACAGCTCAGAGCCTGGAGCCTGCTTCAGATTCCGTGTCTCATTCTTTCTCTGTCCCCCTCCCCCACTTGTGCTTTATCTCTCTGTGTCTCTCCTTCAGGCATGAAGGAATGTCTTGAAGGGAAGCTTTTTTTTTTTTTTTTTTAATGTTTATTTACTTTTGAGAGAGAGAGAGAAACAGAATGCAAGTAGGGGAGGGGGGCAGACACACAGGGGCAGACACAGAATCTGAAGCAGGCTCTAGGCTCTGAGCTGCAGAGCTCGCACCCATAAACCATGAGATCATGACCTGAGCTGAGGTCAAACACTTAACTAAGTCATGCAGGCCCCCCTTGAAGGGAAGCTTCTAATTCAGAGCCCTTCTAATTCAGAGCCCGTAAGGAATTCTTACTTTCTATTGAACAGCCTAGAGTTCTCTCAGGTTCAAATCTTTCTTGTGAAACATATGTAGTTGATGCTAAGTTCCATTAAATATTTGTAGTTGAAAAGAATAACAGTGGGGGTGCCTGGGTGGCTCAGTCAGTTAAGCGTCAGACTTTGGCTCAGGTCATGATCTCGCTGATGAGAGTTCAGGCCCCGTGTCAGGCTCTGTGCTGACAGCTCAGAGACTAGAACCTACTTCGGATACATGTCTCTCTCTCTGTGTGCCCCTTCCTCCACCCCCTCAAAAATAAACATTAAAAAATTTTTTTTTATTTTTTTTACGTTTATTTATTTTTGAGAGACAGAGTGTGAGCAGGTAGAGCAGAGAGAGAGGGAGACACAGAATCTGAAGCAGACTGTAGGCTCTGAGCTGTCGGCACAAAGCCCGACGCGGCACCCGAACCCACAGACTGTGAGATCATGACCTGAACCAAAGTCAAATACTTAACTGACTGAGCCACCCAGGTGCCCCTAAATATTTTTTTTAAAAAAAGAAAAGAATAATGATGAAATCTAAACAGAGTGAGTTGCATATACATAACCTAAAACCCAAGTTTCTTTGATGTCTCTTTACTCACAGCTAGTGAAAGAAATAGTCCTAGGATCCTCCTTCCTACTTTTTTCTCCTCTGTTCTTTAAAAACCCACCCTATTGCAGAAGGAAAGGAAGGATGTCACTCAAGATGGGGACTTCCGTTGACTTGGACCCGATTCCTAAGATGGAATTTGTCTGTTAGTGCTCTTTGAGGACCAGTAGATAAATGAGCTGAAGTCTTGTATTCATTTCTTTATACTTTATAGCTGGTTTTAGAACCAGCTAACAAAGTCAAATATAATTCTTAGCTCACAGCATTTTCCCCTTTAAAAAAAAAATCAAGCATTTTTCCACGAAAGCAGTGTATCAGGAGTATGTGGAAATGGAGGAGGACTTTTTCTGTCACAAGGCATGGGAGATACTAATGACATTTACTCTGAACTGAGGCTAGAGGAAGCCATTTGGCCCCTGGGGGTGCTAAGTACTCTGCAGTGTGAAGGCACACCCACACCAAGGTCCTGTTCTGGCAGAAATGCAGCGGTGCCCCTGCAGAGGACTGTTACCCATGAACTCGCTTCTGCCTGCTTCATTTGACTCACAGCACTCAGAAAATGGTCTTTGTCTGGGATGCCGGGGTGGCTCAGTCCGTTAAGCATCCGACTTCGGCTCAGGTCATGATCTCACAATTCGTGGATTCCAGCCCCGCATCGGGCTCTGTGCTGACAGCTCAGAACCTGGAGCCTGCCTCTGGTTCTGTGTCTCCCTCTCTCTCTACCCCTCCCCTGTTCGTGCTGTTTCTCTGTCTCAGAAATAAATAAACATTTAAAAAAAAAAAAAAAAAAAGAAAAGAAAATGGTCTTTGTCTTTACAGACCCTGCGAGCTGCTGGAAAAACATACATGATCTTCTTCGTCTTGGTCATCTTTGTGGGTTCTTTCTATCTGGTGAACTTGATCTTGGCTGTGGTGGCCATGGCTTATGAAGAACAGAATCAGGCAACCCTGGAGGAGGCCGAGCAGAAAGAGGCCGAATTCAAAGCAATGTTGGAGCAACTTAAGAAGCAACAGGAAGAGGCACAGGTTGGTGATCAGCGTCCTGCCGGCCAGACCGCCGTGACTCAGGCCCAGCCTGATTTGCCACTGCAGTTGATCTTTCCTAGGCACATTGTCAATTAGAAGCCACCAATCTGGTTAAAAGGACCCAAGTAACAACTGCAGATGGCTGGCCCGGTTATTCCATTCGTCTTCACGGCCACATAGTCTGTTGATATGATCTCTGGTTGAATTTCTCAACTGTTTAGTGTTCAATTGCTAGGGTGGCTGGGAGAGGCGGTGGGGGGGGGGGGGGGGGGCAAGTGGCCAGAGCAGTACATGTCATGCTTCCTATAAGCACAGCCTTTTTGCTGAGGCAATCATTAGCAGCTCCTTCACACATTCTCTGCGATCGTGGAAATATTGGTTGTAACGGAAAAGAAGATCCAGGTGAAAGAGTAAAGTGAAATGGGAAAAACAGTCTAGTGATCCCACCACCCTAGCACTTTGCTGTCTGATCCTTGTCCAAACATACATGCGTTTTGACACTGTTGGGCCCATAAGGTATAACTGGGTTTCTTAGCATTCGTGTTCAGAGTTGTCCAGAAGAAATCTTTTGGCACCAAGAAGGCAGCCACATTCTTGTCAGAGATACTTCTGAGGATAAGCCCAGAGTCGATGCCCCCCAGGTTCCGCTCTGATTGCGCAGGGCTGCGTGCCCCGGAACAGACGAACCCAGGAATGGAGACAGCCAGGTCCAGGCCGCCGTCTCCTCTCCAGGCTGGCTCGCCCTCCTCCTTTGCCCCTGCCTCCGCTATCCATGGGAAACGATCTGCACTGATTGCTTGGCTCCTTGCGGCTGCAGTTAACTGCTTCTGACTGGCCTGTCACTGTGTCCCCCGACCCCCGCAGGCGGCAGCGATGGCCACCTCCGCAGGCACGGTCTCAGAAGACGCCATAGAGGAAGAAGGTGAAGAAGGGGCAGGCTCTCCACGGAGCTCCTCTGAAATATCCAAACTCAGTTCCAAGAGTGCCAAAGAAAGGCGCAACAGGAGAAAGAAGAGGAAGCAGAAGGAACTCTCCGAAGGAGAGGAAAAAGGGGATCCTGAAAAGGTGTTTAAGTCAGAGTCGGAAGACGGGATGCGGAGGAAGGGCTTTCGGCTGCCAGACAACAGAATAGGCAGAAAGTTTTCCATCATGAATCAGGTAAGCTGCACTGGGTCAAATAAGCCTAAGAAATTCTCCTTTTGCTAATCTCACTTGATTGTCACATTCCCCGCCCCGCTTTTGCTCTACATTTTCCAGCCTCTTCCCTGCATCCTCAGGTCTGCCTCTCCATGGTCCATACTGTCCTCTAGAGGGAGCGTTGTGGGCGTGTGAGGGCCGTCCTCTGCTCCAGTGCTGCCCCCGTCTCTCTGCTCTGGGCCAGCCCTACGACCGCGTGATCCCCTCGGGTAGCCTCCCTGCAGCCCTGAAGTCCCTTTCCCACCAGTAGGCCTTCCCTTCTACCTTTCTCCATAAGCGTTGGAACATCAGAATTTAGCTTTCAAACAGCTCTGTTTAAGAATTGCATGTAATTGTAGGTTAAAGAAGAATAGACCTGAAACTCTAGGTCACCTTATTTGAGTGTGGCAAATTCTAGTAATTAATTATTCTAGATATATGGTGTCATGCTGATAAATTAGCCTGTGGTGGGTTAAAGGCCTCCAGTTGTTCCCAACTTTGATAAATGGGGAAACTAAGAGAAAGAGAGACGAGGGGACTTACAGATAGTTACTGAGCACCCTATTACTATAAATATCACCACATAACACCTATTTTGGGATTTCAGAGAACACTACCAAAATCCGGTTCTGAGGCCATTAAATTCCCAATTTTAAGGCAATGCTAGAAAGTTAGTATGGCATGAAATAGACTACAGTTACCGGTCTCCTGGCAGTGTGCCCAGTGTCTTATTTCCCAGAGATGACCATTGTGCCTCTCCCTGACACCCTTCCCCTCCCAGCTCAGCCTCTGCCAGTCCTATTCACATGGTCACAGCAGAATCTCGTAGATCCAGCCCCTTATTCCCACCCTCTTAGCTCAGTCTTAGTTCAGGCTTTTGTATTAGTCTGTTCTCCCGCAGTTATCCACTGCGGGTTTGTTTCCTCTGATCATTCTCCCTCTCCTTTATGTTGTGTATACCGTCAACCCAGAGCTCTCATGATTCACCACCCAGCAGTTACAGAGTACCTACTGTGCATCAGGGATTATGCTGACTCCCAGCGATTCATGGTGGTTAAAACGCTGTCCCTGAGGGGCGCCTGGGTGGCTCAGTCGGTTGGGTATCCAACTTTGGCTCAGGTCATGATCTTGCAGTCCAAGAGATCAAGCCCTGCATTGGGCTCTGTGCTGACAGCTCAGAGCCCAGAGCTTCTGATTCTCTGTCTCCCTCTCTCTCTCTCTCTACCCCTCTGCCACTCACACCCTGTCTTTCCTTCTCTCTCAAAAATAAAGAAACATAAAAACATTTAAAAAAAAAAAACACAGTCCCTGACCTAAGGAGCTTATAGCATAATGGAGTGGCCACCAAAACTTATTTCTATAATAGCATGGATGGGTCCATGTTTTCCCGTAATTGAGATAAGCTGGAGTGTTTTAGAGGGCACAGATCTACCATAATCCGGAGATTCGGCACAGACCTTCTCGGGAAGGTAAATAAAGCGTAAACAGGAATTAGTCAGGTTGTGTGTGTGTGTGTGTGTGTGTGTGTGTGTGTGTGTGTGTGTGTTGGTGGGGGAGTAAGAAGGCAGAAGAAAGGACACTCCAGGTGTGGAAGAAAAGTAGGTTCCAGTTTGGACACCCCGTAACCAAGCAGAGAGGTCTTTTAGACATACAGATAGTCAAATGATGCCTCTAGGAAGAGGTCCTGAGTCAAGAGGTGGTGATTGCAACTGTGAGACCTGATGAGGTACTCAAAGGGGTCATGTCAGCTGAAGGAACAGTGGGCTAGGGGGCCCACTGCTGATGTTCATGGGCATCGCAGGTGGAGCTCATGGAGGAAAACAAATGGACAGGTATTAGAGAGGCTGAGAGAACCAGTTCGGTGAAGCCAGGAGAGCACAGAGGTTGGAGAAAGCAGGCAAGTGGTCAGTGGATTGAAAGTTAACAGAAATGCTTCCTGAGATCAGAACTGGAAATAAGCACTGGATTTGGCAATCGGAGTCATTGAACACTTTAAAGACACGCTTCAGGGCCAGATAAGGATTGATGCCATATTAGGTGGGAACTGGAGACAGTGAGTGTAGACATCTCAAGAAGCTTCTTGAAATGTTTGGGTGGAAGGTAAGTATTTTTAAAATCTGGGGTGGGGGAGCCCAGAAGAAGGGGAAGTAGAGGTCAAAAATGGAGTGGAACAGAAAAGAAACTAGAGCACAGTCTTGGAAGATGTGACACTAGATAGAGTCTCTAACAGGAAAAGGTTACCTTTTACCCCAAAATGTCAGGAAATGTGGGTGTGGCCAAGTTTGTAGATGGGGAGTAGGAAGCTGAAGAAGATGACTCTGGAATGTCTCTGGTTTGCAGTAATGTAGGAAATTCAAAGTCCTATTGAAGGGAATGAGAGGTTGAGTTTAAAGTTTATTTATTTTCGAGAGAGAGCACACGCAGAAGCAGGGGAGGGGCAGAGAGAGAGGATCCCAAGCAGGCTCTGCACTCTCAGCACAGAACCCAATCCGGGGCCCAAACCCATGAACCATGAGATTATGACCTGAGCCGAGATCAAGGGTCAGATGCTTAGCCACCCAGGCGCTCCAAGAGGTTGAGTTTAAAGAAATGGGGGTAGGAGGTGTTAAAGAAAATATTGACAGTTTAGGATAGTTATTACAAAGATTAGGAGAGGAAATTACCCTAAACAGATTCACTCTCTCTACTAACAAAGTGCCAGCCCATAGTTGGGAATCACTGTGCTCCCTGGCCTTTTCAGTCCCCCGTCACTGCACCCTGTCAGCCACCAGCACATACACCAGAATGAACCACTAGATGCTTCTCGTCTACGGTGTTTGTTTCCTACCTTCAGTTTTGCTCCAGAAACCCCCTCTCTAAGATGGCCTGTTTTTCTCTCTCTCTGCGTCCACATCGTACTTAGTCTTCACATCCTTCTCTCAGAAAACCTTACCTGCCTCCCCCATTCCACACCTCACTGGAAATTACCATTTTATCTTTCCACTAGTTTCCTACATATCTCTTTAAGTGTTGCTTTTTACTCCATGTGGACTCCTACTGTTCTTTCCTCTCTTAGATGAAGTGCCAAAGCCAAGGCCCGCATAGGCTAATGTTCAGATATTTGTTGGACAAATGAATGGGGGACTTTTATAAATCTGATTTCACCCCTTCTGGGGCTTCTTTGTGGCCTGGAACCATCTCTGTCTCACCTTCACCTCACCTTTCTCCTGGTTCTGCCTCTTTTGGGGAAAAGGATGATTGCAGCTTTGTTGTAATCCAGCCCTTGTCTTGACAGCCATCACTGAGCTGGTTAATGAATACCTTGGTGCTGTTATTGAATGGTCTCTGATTAATCTTTTGGCTTAGCACAGAGTTGCACTGATTGCTCCCTAGCTCAAAAAATAAAACTGGGCTTCTGAAATGTCCCTCTTTGCATGAAAATGTTCGCTCCCTCTAATTTCTCCATCTGAAAAAAAAGTGTAGCTTCCTAGAGGCCGTGGCTGTCTGCCAAGACTTGCTTAGAAACCCTCCATAGAAGTAATATTCTTTGTCCCAGGACTCTTCTGCCATTCCTCTGATTTTATCTGGAACAATGACTAAAACTGAGGCCTGGAGACATTAACTTATCGAAGGTTATATGGCTAGCTTGGTCAAGATTTGAACCCGGTCCTTTGGACTGCTGAGCTTGTATGCAGTGTGGCCGCTCCCTGCCCACTCACCTCCATTCACCCACGGTCATCTCTTTTGTCGGCTCACCAGTGAACATGGCTTCAGTTCAGTTCCTGTATTGCCAGATCTGCAGAGAGCCCCTTCAGACACCTGCCCACCCAATCTCCTACTCATTTCTCGATAAAATTACTGCTGTGGTTTTAGGGCTTAGAACAGTTTATAAATATTAAATTCAATTTTGCATTGCATTTTAATTTTTCTCTTTTTTTTGTATTTTAATTTTTCTATGATAGCACTTCTCAAAGCTGTTTGGTCTTAGGACCCCTTGATACTCTTTTTTCTTTTCTTTTCTTTTCTTTTTTTTTAGAGAGAGAGAAAGAGTAAGGGATAGAGGGAGAGGGAGATAAAAAAATCTTAAGCAGGCTCCATGCCCAGTGTGGAACCCCACACCAGGCTCGATCTTAGACCCTGGGATCTTGAACCTGAGCTGAAATCAAGACTTGGATGCTTAATTGACTGGTGTCCCTAGGACCCCTTAATATTCTTAAACATTGCAGACCCCAAAGTGCCTTTATTAAGTGTGCATTTAATTTATCATATTAGAAATTAAGAAATTTAATAATTAAATATTTATAATATGTAGTTTAATAATTACTATTAAATTAAGAACTTTAAAGACAGTAAACACGTTTATTTACTGATTTATTTAAAAATAATAATGATAGGGTGCCTGGCTGGCTTAGTCTATAGAGAACATGACTCTTGATCTTGGGGTTGTGAGCTCCAGCCCTACACTGGGTATAGACATTACTGAAAAAAATAAATATTAAAAATAAGGGTGCCTGGGTGGCTTGAGCTCAGGTCATGATCTTGTAGTTTGGGTTAGTTTGGGTTCATGGTTTTGAGCCTTGCATCCGGCTCTGTGCTGACTGCAGGTTGCCCGTTTCAGATGCTCCATCCCTCTCTCTAAGCCCCTCCCCCCTTTAAAAAAAAAAAAAGCAAATCTTAGAATGAATAAATAAATAAGATAAATCCATTCTACCTTTAACACAAATTATAAATATTTTTGTAAGAATGAACTGTTTTCCCAAAAAACAAAATTTGTGGAAAAAGTAGTACTTTTTTGTAAGTAGTACTTACATTTTTGCACATCTCTTTAATCTATAATTTATAGAAGACAGTTGGAATATCATATCTGCTTCTGCATTCAGCCTGGCTTTTTAAAAAATTTTTTGGTTGACCTATTTGAAGGAAATCTACTTTTTGTACAGATGTAATTAGAAAAGGGAGGAATAGTAGTGCCTATGTGGTTCAGTCGGTTAAGCATCCGACTT